CGCTGGGTTAAACAGAGCACGCGGCGTTGATCTGGGAACGGCGGCGCAGCGCTCGGAGAGAGCCGAGATTGAGCAGCAGATCCGAATAGAAAAGGAAGCTGACTTACTGGTAGTAGACAGCGTGGGAAGATCCCTTTCCTGGTTTGAGGGCTGGTAAGCCTGAGAACTCGGGTCGATGTCTGGTAGGAATGATGACTGAGTGATGAATGAGCAAGAGTCGGCGTGATGGCGTCGACGAGCCGCGCTGGTGATGGGAATGCTGGGAAGTGTAGTAACCTGCCAGTTGTGTCCATAGGGAGTGGTCACCAGGAGGAGTTTGTGACACGTTGACTTGCATTCATTATTTCGTTCTTCCGGGGACCCATGGTCCAGAAGTAGATGGGCGTGATTTAGGCTCCCTATTAACAAAGTTGAATCCATTTTTTTTTTTTTTTCGGTTTGATAATATCAGTTAGCTGTGGCGGCCATCTTGAATGGGGTCAAGTTAGTGAATTCTAGATGTACATCAGAAAATTACTTTTGGAGAATTTTATTATAAAGTTCCATGCGTTATGAAATAGTTCACTAATCATGACAGGCACATTATTACCCAGCACTAATAGACAAAGCATTACTGTTGTGGCTGCAGGGTGGTGCAGTCGGTAGTATTGTTGCCCCCCAGGAAGAAGGTTGCAGGTTCTGATGATTTGTGTGGTCAGTTGCAGACTCCATATTGTTCCTATAGGAGTGAGTCAGCATGTTTGAGTGATTGAACTACTCAAAACACATCTGACTTGTATCTTTCCTACTTGAACAGTTAGTTTTTCTGACTTCGCCGTCAAAGGTTTGCACAGTTTTCCATTTTTGACTCGTTGTGAACATAAATCCTTCTCCCTGAGGGCTTGTGCTAACAGCTGTTCTTACAAACTTGAACTTCTTTGGAGTATCCCTCTCAGTTCAGACACCATCTGGCAGCAGCAGCATGTCCCTGTAGTCTCCTCCTATCATTAGTCTCTTTTAGTCTCGCAGTTTGTCTCATCAGAGATCCAATACAGTGACTTGTCCATCAGACAATCACAGTTCATTTAAGGATATGACGTTCCTTCTTGTGGACAAACGTCATGTAGGGATTAGGATCACTTTTTAGCTGTGCGGTTGCGTCAGCAACCCTGATTTTTGGGCTTTCTAAGGGCATGCCTGGTGCTTTTTGGAGCTTAAAAAAAACTACGGAAATGGGTTTTCCCCTCACTGTCACACACCTTCGGACAAAACTCGAAAGTTGCGCTGAGATAGGAGCTGGCTGTGTAATCCCTGCCATCTGTTGAGTAGATCACATCATAATGACGTTTATGTAGGCCACCCTCCTTTCCAATCTCTCTCCGTGGACCTCTTAGCAGCATCTCCTCACTTCAGTACTAAATCATCTTTTAGGAGTAGGAGACTAGGAGCTGAAAGCACAAATGCTGAAAACTATCTTCCAAGTGTGACATCTGTTTTATTTTACAGCTATAAAATGACAAACTTAAAAGTTCATTTTCTCCCTGTGTTGTATTTTTTTTATCTTTAGCCCATTGTCCTTTGACCCAATTGCCAGAATTTAATCCTACCAAGCTGCACAATCAAAAAATCTCTGATGATCAGAGCAGAAGACCAAACATTTAGGACATCCAGACGGAGTAAAGGGAAAAAAATGAGGAAAGCAGAAGGAGAACAGAGCGGATTAATTCAGAGAAGAGGCAGTGGGGTGAAAGAAATGGAGAAAAGGGAGGGAATCATAACGATGAGGGTAAGCAGGACGGCTGCTAACGGGAGGGGAGGAAAGATATTTAGGAGAAGAAAGAGAAGTATGGAGCATACGGTTGAACCCCTTCTCACCACCCACATCCCCCTTCATAAAGTCAGTGAATGTGACAGGAAGACTTATGTAACACCCCAGAGATGGAAGGAGGAGATGGGGAATGAGCAACAAGGAGGAGGAGAAGAAAAAACAAAGGTAGAGTAGAGAGCCGCTGCAAAACAGGAGGAAGAAGTTATTAGATGACAAAGAATTAGGAGATAAAGGGGCAAAGTAGAAGACGGAGAACTTTGGAGAGTAAAACAGGAGATGTGTGAAAGGGCTGGAGAGATAAAGAGAATGGAGAGATAAAAAAAAGCAATTGAAAGATCTAGCAAGCCTGTTAGCATGGCTCTGCTGGCTTTACACTTTTCATTTGTTTTGTGGGGGAGAGATTAGTAAAAGGATTAAGAGAGAGATTCCCTCGCTCCTCATTCTTTTTCTTTCCCTCAGCCTTTCTGCCTCACTCCAACGGGCACACACACACACACACACACACTTATACTGTAATTTCATGCAGAAGAAGCTTGTCTGTGCATGTTCAACACAACAGGGCTTCAAGGAAACATTATACTTCCTCATCTGTTAATCTGCAAAGTATTATTTTTTTCCTGCTAGATCAATTAGAAAATGTCCAGAAACAAAAGAGATCGCTGGGTCCCGGGCTCGGCCGGCTAGGGGGTGGGAGGCTGCGGGCGGGCCTTCGGGCTTGCAGCTGATATCTCCCGGGACTCTGCCGGCTGCTGGTTGTGCCCCCCCCCCCCCCCCGGGGTGATCCTCTGCACCTCTCGAGGGGGGCGGGGGGGCCTTTCTGGTTGCAGTCTCCTTGGGGTTCCTGAGTTCTGGGGCAGCGCCTGGATCTCTGGGACTTGGAGCTCCCTCCATCTCCTACACATCTTTGGGGGGCAGATCTGTGGTCCCTCACACTCTCTGTTGGACGCTCCTATAGATAAACCTTACATAAACAAGCGCGTGTACACACACAGGTGCTCACATGGTGCTCTCAAAAGTATGGGCTTGGGCACATTCAACACAGGTCTTAAGACTATGGTGGGCACTTAATGCACTATGATTTATTATCGTGTGATTGTTCAGTTAAACAATGTTGATTATATATTTCTTCATCAGGCTGACGCAGTGATAGCTTGATCTTGTTGTATTGTTGTGCGTCCCTTTTTTCTATTCTTTATCTTTCTGCAGGTCTAGAGGCAGACTCTTGTTCATTATTGTTTATTTTTGTGAAGTGAGAAGTGGACTAACGGTTTTGTCCACAATAATGGGGGAGCTGCTCTCGTCTGTTACAGTGAAGAAGGAGCTGAACTGGAACTCTGAATTTATTGGTCCATCTACGTTCCAACTATCATCTATGGTCCAGATCTCATACTCATTAGAGGGATTATAAATCCTGTCTGACTTGGGAATGCCATAGGACCCCCAGGAAGAGGTGGGGAAATAGCACCAGGGAGCTGGATGACGACCTGGAAACTCAACCTGACCTTGGATAAACAGAAGATAATATTGGGTGGATGGGTTTGTGAATGGATTAATGGATCTGTGGGTGATTGGATAGATAAATGCATGGATCGGTGGGTTTGTGGATGGATGGATGGATGGATGGATGGATGGATCGGTGGGTTTGTGGATGGATGGATGGATGGATGGATGGATGGATGGATGGATGGATGGATGGATGGATGGATGGATGGATGGATGGATCGGTGGGTTTGTGGATGGATGGATGGATGGATGGATGGATCGGTGGGTTTGTGGATGGATGGATGGATGGATGGATGGATGGATCGGTGGGTTTGTGGATGGATGGATGGATGGATGGATGGATGGATGGATGGATCGGTGGGTTTGTGGATGGATGGATGGATGGATGGATGGATCGGTGGGTTTGTGGATGGATGGATGGATGGATGGATGGATGGATGGATGGATGGATCGGTGGGTTTGTGGATGGATGGATGGATGGATGGATGGATGGATATGTGGATGGATGAATGCATGGATGGATGTACAGATGCATGTATGTATGTATGTATGTATGTATGGATGGATGGATGGATCGGTGGGTTTGTGGATGGATGGATGGATGGATGGATGGATGGATGGATGGATCGGTGGGTTTGTGGATGGATGGATGGATGGATGGATGGATGGATCGGTGGGTTTGTGGATGGATGGATGGATGGATGGATGGATGGATGGATGGATGGATGGAATGAATTCTTATGGGTGTTCTGATGTCTGGTCTAAAACCAACGTGAGCTTTCTGTTTAATCTGACTCAGATTTGGTTATGTTAGTTTCTCATCCTATTTCTCTCATCCTTCACATCTGGATCTCTCTCTTTCTCTCTCTCTCTCTCTCTCTCTCTCTCTCTCTCTCTCTCTCTCCTGCTCATTTTCCTGTGTTGCTCTTCTTCTAATTTGTCGTTACTCTTTATTTTTCTCTCCTGCTTAGCTTTCCTCCCCTTCTCACTCCCTCTTTTTAAACAGCAAAAAGCAATTTCTCTCCCTTTGTCAGGGTGGTTGGTGGTAAGCCCTTAAGTAGGGATTTTCTGGTTTGGCTGGAATGCCATTAGGCAAGCTGGTGGTGACGTGCTGTGACTGACGTGTCGAATCTTTTTGATGTTGTGATGTCACAATCCAGCGGAGGCCGGGTTATGATATTGTTGGCGTCCCCAGAATGAGGGGCTTTAGTGGTCATGTCAGAAGTAAGTCTTTATAAATCCTTCATGGCACAGAAATATTAAGCTTCTTTGGTGATACAGGGACAGAGGGAAATACGTGATGGAGTGTGCACAAACATAAAGCAAAGAAGAGTCACACACAGAAAGAATGCCACCTACCTGTGTGTCTACACTCAAATGTCCTGTAGGTGCGCAAATACTCCAGGATGTGGAGCAAGCAGGCTAAAAAACAATGGTGTCATTCAGAAAATATTGTACATGGCTTTATTTAAACTTCAGAAGAAACGTGCATCTACCATAACGCTACCTATTATGTTATGTATTTGGTGTGTGTGTGTGTGTGTGTGTGTGTGTGTGTGTGTGTGTGTGTGTGTGTGTGTGTGTGTGTGTGTGTTAAACTGTGACAATTTTTTTAATTGTCATTTGAATGGTTTTTAATTGTAGACATGTCTTGCTGGTGTTTGACTTGTGCATCTACTTCTCCACACAGCACCACCAAAATTCACCCGGATCCCAGAAAACCAGACAGGTGTGCAGGGAGGCGTGGCCTCCTTTGTTTGCCAGGCCTCGGGGGATCCACAACCCAAGATCGTCTGGAATAAAAAAGGCAAAAAAGTCAGCAACCAGAGATTTGAGGTACAACACTGTGAGACTAATATCCAAACAACAGTCATGGTTGCTGGAAGCTCATTGGTTGTTTAGCGGTTTACAGTTGAAACTGAGTTGAAAATCATGACTAATGGGCTTTATTTAACGAATCGACAGAAGAAAATTCGCAAAATGGTCACAAGATCCCACCTTACAATTAACTTGTACTTCCCACATGACCCTGCCACATGTAAAATAAAATAACCGAATTGGTATATTTACATGTAAAATATGCCAATATAATTCAATTAGAAAATCTGTATATTTTCTTGGAACTTTGTGTCCACAACACTGACGTTGTACACATATAAAGATTCAGCAATCATGTTACTATTTATATCTGTTTAAAGCAACAATAAATAAGTTTCTTACTAGTTGAAAGCAGAATTGCATCTGTCATAAACAACCCTGCCGCAGCCTGCTGTAGCTAGCGCTAGCAATAAGCTAACGCTAACACTAGCCAACTGATACTAAATCAGAATCAGAATCAGAATAGGTTTATTGCCATTGTCAGTGAACAAACAATTCACAAACTAGGAACTTGCTTCGGTACTAATGTGCTACATATAACATGAATAATAAGATTAAAAATAGAATAAAATATAATAAAAAAACTAGAATAAAACTTTCAACGATAAAAAATGGCAGGTAATGGTAACATGGCCGATAACGTGACGTTGTGTCGAGTACAGATGACGAGCATGGTTGTGTGTTTATAATCTATTCATAAGTCTAACGTCAGATGGAAAGAAGCTGTTCTTATGGCGGGAGGTTCTGGTCCAGATGGACCGTAACCTCCTGCCTGAGGGAAGCGGCTCAAAAAGTCTGTGACCCGGGTGCGAAGGGTCAGCTGCTATTCGACCTGCACGCCCCCGAGTTCTGGAGACGTACAGGTCCTGGAGAGATGGAAGGCTGCAGCCAATCACCTTCTCAGCAGAGCGCACAATGCGCTGCAGTCTATGTTTGTCCCTCACCGTGGCTCCAGCGTACCACACAGCGATGGAGGAGGTGAGGATGGACTCAATGATGGCCGTGTAAAACTGCACCATCATCTGGGCCGGCAGCTTGGCCTTTTTCAACTGCCGCAGAAAGTACATCCTCTGCTGGGCCTTTTTGAGCAGGGAGCTGATGGATGGCTCCCACCTAAGGTCATGTGTGATGGTGGTTCCGAGGAAGAAGTCCACAGTGGTGACGGGGGTGTCCGTCAGGACGAGGGGGAGAGATGGGGCTATGACTTTCCTGAAGTCCACAATCATCTCCACTGTCTTCTGAGCATTGAGCTCCCACAAAATAAGCCACAAAGTAAAAACATCCACACTGTTGGACAGAAATATTACTTACAAGTCCAGTAGCAACAAAGCCAGGTCACTATCAGTCTGTGATTTCATAGCCTTAGCTCCCTCAGATGAGTGTAGGCCGTGCCGATGTTGACTCTCACACACAAAATAGCAAAATGCTTCTTCTTCTTCTGCCCTTTTTTCTTCTTTTTGTGCTTTTTATTGATGCTTGGCAAACTGAAAAGGCTAACTGCTGGCCTTGTTTTAGCTACCAGCACATTACACATCTATTGCCGTAAAGCAGGTAAAGACCTCTCACTAATTGGTAAATGGCCTATATTTGATATAGCACCTTCCAGGGTTCTTTGACCCCCCCAAGGCACTTTATAACACAAACAGTCATTCATCCATTCACACCTTGGTGGTGATGAGCTACAATGTAGCCACAGCTTACCTGGGGCACACTGACATAAGTGAGGCTGCTGAATACTGGTACCACTGGTCTCTCCAGCCACCACCAGCTGGCATTGTGGGTTAAGTTTCTGGCCCAAGGACACAAAAACGGTGTTCCTACCAGAACCACTGAACTGTAAAGTGCAGCTTCTGGCCAGCAGAGGGCTACAGAGGACTCAAGAGCCACTGAAACCAGTTTGAAAGCAAAAGCTGAAAGTGTTAAAACCTCTTTAGTATTTCTTTACCTTAATCAGTAAATCTGTGTCCACACTGAGAGGTTTATGTAATGAAATCTGCTTTTGGTTGTCTTTTATTTATTTATCATCACAAACAATTTGTGTATGAAAGCAAAAGTAAATGTCACACAGGTGTTTGTAATGCCACATGCTCCGCCCCTTTTAATATGTCCGATAATGACCGGGGCTACAGTGTGTGGTATTTCTACACCATCAACCTTATTTGTTTCCTGAAGGCTCTAACCTTGGATTTATTTCCCCGCATTGTGAGTCACTGTGTGATGGAGACGGTGAATCCGCCTCATCCTGCTCTGCCAGTTTCATCCTGAACCCAAGATGCCTCTCCACTTTAATAAGTGGACTTTCCTCCCAGGTTTTAGTTCATCTGTCTGTTTTCCTGTTTGTGACTAAATCATTCAAGGTGGTATTTTATTTTTAACCCAAAAATATATGAGCTCAGGCTACTGTATGATCTTCACTGCAGCCCTGTCAGGCAAGACATGTAGGACTGTTTTATTGCATTTTAGTCAGAGAGAAACTTTCTCACAATATGGAGGCCTGATCAATTACATGTGCATGTTAAGCTTATGCAAGAGCAGACGTAATAATGCGTCAGTATAAAAACATTGGTTTTATTTATCCTAAATAATTACCTTCCATATCCAACTGGAAAAAGTCATTCACTTGAGTGCTTTACTCAGAATTCTCAAAGTATGCTTTCATTCACCAAACATGTTGAATCATCCTCGAACTAGAAAAGTGGCATAAAAAGATGTTTTCTGAAAATTATTTGTCATCTGTCTCCTTTTAGACATCTGAATCCTGCCATCATTTTAATAAAAGTAAACATTTGAAATGCTCTTGGTTTCATTAACAGGTAATAGAGTTTGACGACGGATCCGGTTCGGTTCTGAGGATCCAGCCTCTGAGGACTCCCAGAGACGAAGCCATTTATGAATGTCACGCTTCGAACTCAGCGGGAGAGATCACTGCGTCGACTAGACTCACCGTCTTACGAGGTCTGTATACTTTGCTGGGGTGAACTTCAAAGGTGCATGAAGTAAGAAAGACATCCTGTGGTCATATTTGGGTACTGCAGTAAATGCATCAAAACAATCAAGTCCTCTCTCAGCCATGCCCCCCCACCCCCCCCCCCCCCCCCACCCCCATTTCGTGAGTTTCATGTTGCCATTTACGGACCAGCTCCAGAAGATTCTAGATGACGAGATAAGACGAGTCATACACAAGTAGATAAATGCACTTCACTAAAATATTGAGTTGTTGGTAATTTAAAAAGAAGCTTGAGATGTTTTTCTAAATCCCTTCTGGCAGTGATAGCTAAATCTCAGCCTCTAGCCTTTTTAACTCGATAAAAGTGAAGCAAGAAGGCTTTTAAAAGAAAGTGAAAAGGAATTACTTCTGGGTCAATCCTGCTTTGAATTTCAAATGCTATCACAGCATGTTTACCAGCGCAGATTTGACCGGAAGAAGAGAGGTGGGACAGATGGCAGACAGCTATGTACCTGTTTGGCTTTTTAAAAGGAGAATAACTGGAGACAGACCTGCCAGTGCTGGAGAGAACCCGCCAGTCATCTGAGCATGGAAAATATGCAAAGCCATTCATGAATTTTCTTCACTCTCAGCAGAAAGAACCATGTTCATGAAAATATTTGAGGGAGCACATCGGATACTTTATCAATACCTTAGTTCTACAATTTCAAATCAACTTGCAGTTCTCAACATGAGGTGAGCACTTTAATTGAAAGGACTGCAGATTTGTCTGTTATACTCTGCTCAGTGCTTCTCAGAGGACCATCCTACACCGTTGGGTAACCTAAAGGAGAGTGGCTTCCATCTCTGTACATGGGAGACTCCTCCCACATATGGGGTGATGATGATCTAACTGGATACCCTAGCTTGGCCTTTGTGAAATCCACAAAGAAGTCTGGAAAAGAATCTACAGCAGCAACTAGCAAAGAAAAGGACAACAGGCGCAACAGCACCATAATCCCATCCGTGGCAGGAGTCTCCGAGAAACTGGGGCCTAGTCCACACGTACCCGGATAAATACGTTGTTAAGGACATGCCAGACCTGTAGGTGGCAGTACTTCCCCCGTTCTTAACCTCGTCCTTCGTCTGTGGTCTTCCGCAAGGAGCAGTAATTCCGCTTGCAAAAACAAACAAGCAAAAAGCGCTTGGACGATTGATAAAGCGAGCGCAGCTCTGAGGGCATCCATGCTGTTGGCTAGTGTAAATACAGGTCGCACACGTGATGTCAGCATTTTTTTTGTGGCGGAAAGTGACGTTGCGGACCTTAAAACTCCGGTTTTGTCTGTCCACACGCAGACACCCAAAACGGAGAAAACGCAGATCTTCACTTTGGCCGGAGTTTTTAAAAAGATCCGTCTTCGTGTGAAAAAACTCCGTTTTCGTGTGGATGACAGGCCAAAACGTAGAAAAATATCTACGTTTTGGCAGATCCCCGGCTACGTGTGGACAGGGCCTGAGAAGAATCTTCTCCAAACACAACATCCGTGGAAATTTTAAACCGAGCAACACCCTCAGACAGAAACTGGTCCATCCAAAACACAAGACACCCAAACTGAAGTTTAGTGATGTCATCTATGCAGTGAGGACTGCTCAGACCTTTACATAGGGTTAGGGTTGGGGTTAGAGCATGGCTCAACACAGGAGAGCAGCCTCTTCAGGTCAAAACTCTGCAGATGATAACGTACACGTTCTGGCCAGAGAAGATAGATGGTTTGAGAGAGGATTGGAGGAAGCTATCTAGGTCAAACAGGAAAAACCTACATTAAACAGAGGAGGAGGCTTTAGGTTTCACCTGTCCAGCATATATATTGCAACTTTAAACAAATTCCACAACAGTTTTGGTCTAGGTCACACCCTCCTGCATCTGATCAAAACAACCATTCTAACACAATAGGTCTTAATGACATCAACAATTCCTCGGGGGGGGGGGGGGGGGGGGGTATTCATAAGTAGTTTCAGCTCATTAAGATACAACTGACAACTGCAGATTATAAGCACGACTCTCCCATATTCCTGTCAGATTTGACAAAGCTCCTTGGATGAGAAGTGAAATATCTTCAAGAAACCAAAGAAGACAGTCTGCCTTCATTTGAACCCTTTGAGTGTCGTTAAGAGGCGTGAAAAACGTTTTAAGTTGATTTGTTTTATAATTGTGCTATTGCAGCTTTAATGATTGTTCAAAATACAATGAGTTTGGAAACCTGGATGTTCAGATCATTCTGGTGGTAAACAATGGGGATTTAGTCTTAGACGTGGTTGCATTAATGAAAAATGTTTGTTTTGATTTGCATAAGGGTTGCATTCTTTACATCTTGACCTCACTAAATGTAAATTTGAAGCTGTGAGCCTGGACTCATTGCATTGAGAATTGAGTGTAAACATGAGTCCATTAATGCGAATAGTGATGTTTGTGTTAGTAGTCCATTAGGAGGGCATTATGAACTGCTAGTTCGAAGCTCGAGTGTCTTAGAGAGTAAAATTGCTCAGCTGTGGATAATCACATCACCTGTCTTTGCAGGAAAGTGTTCATGAGAAAAAAAGGCGTGCTGTTGTAACATTTTTTTTACTTTCGTTCTATCCCATCTCTCCGAGGAGTATAACTTTTCAATTCTCATCATGTTTTAGTTTCCTGCAAGCCTTATTCTCTTCACTCTTCATTCTTCTCTTTTTGTGCACATTCCTTCTTTTCTCCATCCCTTCTTCTGTCTCTCCACATGCTCTTGGGTCCACTGCACAGCAACCCCTAAATTATTCACGTCAGACCACTCTTTGCATCTTCTGCGCTGTACCTCTCCATCCATCTAGAGTTTTTCTTGTCTCTTGTGGTTCTCCTTGCATGTGTACGGGTGTGCACGTATTTGTCTGTCTCTGTAAAACACAAGTGCATGGAGGCATGCTCAACTTGTGTGTTTGCATCCCGCGTGTGCTCCTGTTCATGTGTCTTTGCATCTATTTTTGCTCTCTCTCTCTCTCTCTCTCTCTCTCTCTCTCTCTCTCTCTCTCTCTCTCTCTCTCTCTCTCTCTCTCTCTCTCTCAATCTCTCTCTCTCTTTTTTTCTTCTGCAAATTCTAATTCACCCGTCGCTTGTCTCTTTCTTTTTCAACAACATAACTGCTCAAGCGCAAATTCAAAACACAAATGCAATAACGCACACAAACACACACACACACACACACACATGTCCTCAGTGGAAGACAGTCACTCTTTATGTAGTGATTAGCCTCTTTCTGTTTCTCTGAGGAGTCATTGTGTTGTGGATGAATAAGAGGCCACCTGGGAACAGCTAACAGTCCCTCAGTCTAAATGTCAGTTACAAAGTACACACACTCAAATACACACGTGTGCACCCACCCAGATTCGCACACGGGCCCTCAGACACACACAGTCGTGTCAGTCATGTGTCCTAAAGTCCCCCGTGGCTCTGTAAAGGCACGGCTCTAGTGACTGACTGCCTGACAGGAGGGATCTGGTTGTAAAGGTCAGCTGGCTTCATTACTGATGATTAGAACCAGACTAATTGAAATCTTGGCTCACGGTAAATGACTGTGATTGGCAAAGGCTGAACTAATAATGAAGCTTGGAGTGATTAAATGCTTAAAAGCCCATTGCACAGTATAAGTTCTGTAAAAGTCCACATATACATAAGTGGGTGTTTGATAAGTACTTCAGTCTAAAATATATGTTTTGAGTGCATTTGTAGTAGTAGTAGTAGTAGTAGTAGTAGTAGTAGTAGTAGTAGTAGTAGTGTTGCTGTTGCTGTTGTTATTATTATTATTGTTATTATTATTATTATTATTATTATTATTATTATTGTTATTATTATTATTGTTGCTGTTATTATTATTATTATTATTGTTGCTGTTATTATTATTATTATTGTTGTTGTTGTTGTTGTTGTTGTTGATGTGGCATGCACACTTATCTGGTGAGGCATTAACACTTTTAAACCATTAGTTTACATATTTTTTTGATTCCAATTAAGGATGCACAATGCTGTGCATTAGCATGTAGCTGTGAGATTGTGTTTTACCAATTGTCCTATAAAATATAAAATTATTCAGCATTTTAAAACTAAAAACTGCACGTTAAATTCACTAGGAGCACACTTTGCTCTGTATTTTCGAAAACCCATAGGATTCTATTCACTGATGATAAATGAATCAGATTAAAGCAAGGTTCCTGTCATGATGCAAGTATAGAATCTGTTTCATAGTCATAGATGGTGAGTCATGTGACCTATGACATATGGAGAGATTTACACCTGACACTTAAGTTTTTTAATCAAAAAGGTCCTCATAAGCATTGATTGTACGAAAAAAACTTTACCTTCAAAAACACAGGAATAAAAACCATATAAATGAGTCATTTTTATTTCTTCATTTATTATTAAAGATTGTAACATTTTAATTAATATATAAATATTGTGTTTAAAAATAAAACAAATTATATAACATTTATAGTAATTCAGTTTTTAATTTGCTACATTTAATCCCTACTTTTGGTGTTTTTGTTTTTTGTGGCAGCTTGGATGCAGAAGAGAGTGGAGGAAAGGTTTTCCTTCAAGTATAATTGTAATTTTGGTGACACTTTACAATAAGGGATCCTTTATTAGTGTTACTTAGCGCATTATTAACCATGAATAGACTATTAAATAAATTAACAACTGCTTAATATCAATGTGAATATTAAATAATGCATTACCAAGAACATCCTCCTTGTCCGTTTGCCCTAACCTGAAGAACAATAAACGGTTAACAAAATCGGGAACATTAATTAAGGGGCCCTTGTTGTAAAAGGTTACTGTATTTTTTTCTACAGTGTACCCTGGACAAAATAAATAAAGCTTCTTTTATTTTTTGATCTCAGAAATAACGAATAAAGCTATCCACAAACAACTCCCTGGAAATATAAAAAAGAAACTTTCTACGGAGAGATAACCGATATAATCTGAGGGAGGAGCTGAACTTGA